TTGAAACCATCAGCAGCTGAGCTCAATTCAAAGGTGACTTGCCTGGAACTAAATAATAGCAAACAGATACTTTTAGGAAGTCTATTTGCAACTGTCAAGGCAACCTACAGGACACTTCTTTGTTCCTAGCACTAAAATACATTTGTTGTGAATATATGGAGATCCGCCACTCTTCTGTTTCTGCCGCTGCTGGGTCTTACTATATATTTCTTGATATACGCTGCACAAGCCCATCTCCTATAAGCAGTGCAGCTAATAGTCAAACTTCTTAGCTGTTACACCTAATAGGCAGGTAAACCTCTTCTCCTATTCCATGGATTTGTGAAAGCCAACTTTCTCATAGATTATGTCTTCTGTATAAGTTGAGATTTTAACTTCCATTATTCCTAACATATATGGCCAATGGGGAGAATGGAGGGCACTGAGATGGGAATGGCCAATCTAATCACTTTCTAAGCTAGCTGCACATTATTGCATCAAGTGTCATTATGAGGACCAAACTTTGACTGGATTTATTATTAATATTTACATTAATTGGCCACCCAACTCCAGTGAACTCTGCAGTGTGTTTATGACACCCTGAGCCATAAACCAGCAAACTATGTTAACTCAAATTTAGGAAACTGAGCATGATTCAGTTAATCCTAAATAAGTATATAGTACATACATTAGATATCAATTCTGCAACTGTGCAAACATTGCTGCTTGCATCTGTTTGGAATGGTGTACCAGCCCATTTGATTGCATGCCTGAAGATCTGTAATTATGAAAGAGGAAAGTGCCGCATCTCCCCTTTCCATGCCTATCGTAATTTTTATAAAGCCGTCTAATTCCCTCTTTGTCTTTCCCAAGAATCTTTTTGTTTGCTTTTCCCAAAACAGAGGTATAAAATCTAGAGTCAGAATGCCATTGACTCCTCCTTAGCATTCCCTGTCTGTAACACAGCCAAGTATGCATCTGTGTATTGGCACCTGTTCACATACAGCCCTATCTAATCAGGTCTTTCTTAACCTTGGGCCATATAGGAACTGATTTCCAATAGATTAGACTAGAGTATCCCACCCCATTGTCTTTTCTGACCAGTAGTGGCCTTCCAACCTTGTTTCCATGGCTCTGTTTCTTAGTATTTAAATTTTTATTAGTTTATTTATCAAAATTGAAAATACAAAGAGAAATAAACATAAAGAGAAAGTAAGGGAGAAAAAAAAGAAAAAGGAAAAAGTGGAGGGTAAAAAGGAAAAAAGAAGGAAACACATTGACTTCCGACTCTTTTTAACACAACATAGTAAAGAAATGAAGTTATAACCATTTCTGTAACAATAAATCTACAGAATCAACAAAACTCAAAGTCAAAGTTTTATGTTCTTAACTGTTTTTGTCCTTAAAAATTCGCGTTTTTAAATGTTTTTGTCTAGTAATAAATAACTCCTTTATTATAGCAAGCATTTGACAGCTCAAAAGAGTGATCAGACTGTTCATATTTGACAGGAATTCAGTTGTAGTATTAGGCCAGAACCCCTTTATTACCTGGTGTTAAAGTCTCCCCCAAGAATCCATATCCAAAATTCAGCAACAAACCCCTAATTGCAGTAATACGTTTTCCTTCTTTTAAAAAAAAGTTTTAAAAGTGTGACATTTCTGAATGGCTTAATGTCCCTATTTTATTTTTTTAAAATTAAAAAAGTGGTCTAACCTCTCTAAATTTCGCTCATTTATGTTCAGTGCAAAGATAAACGCGAGGAAAAGGGTTGTCTTCTGCAACTCTCATTCCTCTCCTAGATTAGAACATAGAACATAGAATAATAGAGTAGGAAGGGACCTTGGAGATCTTCTAGTCCAGCCCCCTGTTCAAGCAGGAGACTATAACTTTTCAGACAAATGGTTGTCCAATCTCTTTTTGAAAGCCTCCAGTGACTTTCTAAAGGTAAACTATTCCAGGAAATTTCTCCTTAGTTCTAGGTTGCTTCTCTCCTTGGTTAGTTTTCATTCGTTGTTTCTTGTCCTGCCTTCAGGTGCTTTGGAGAATAGTTTGACTCCCTCTTCTTTATGGTAACCCCTGAGATATTGGAACACTGCTATCATGTCACCCCTTATCCTTCTCTTTATTAGACTAGACATATCCAATTCCTGGAATTGTTCTTTGTATGTTTTAGCCTCCAGCCCCCTAATCATTTTTGGTGTTCTTCTCTGCATTCTTTCCAGAATCTTAATGTCTTTTTGGTATTGTGGTGACCAGAACTGGATGCAATATTCCAAGTGTGATCCTCCCAGCCCAGTATCATGAGAGTGACCATTCACTCCTTCCAGAGAACTCTAAATTATGGCAGAGGCTGTTATAAAGAATGCAATTTGTTTTAAAAAGGAGAATCAGGAGAGATAAGAGATTACTTATCATTCTTAAACATGCTTTTGCTCCAAAGTATATGTGGGAGGTGTTTGGGGGGGCGAATTATGGAGGCATTTCACATTTTGCTGTTGGCAGTTAAGATAAAGTTTGCAGGAGATGAACTGAATTATAAAACTGACCTCTGAAGAGGTTGGCTTCTCTGCAATTTAGATAAGACTGGCAGTGGAGAAAGGCACAGACAGCTGAAAGGCAATTAACTGCAGAATGTTTTTCAACAGTAATGATCTTGATTAGGTGTTTGCTTTTGCTGTCTAGCTGGAAATGTCTAAAAAAATACTTGGCATGCAGTGCATGGGAAGGGATAATTCAAACATTGCCAAGAAATATGAGAAAGGGACCATGAAACAAATGAGAAATTATTAAGAAATTGACCTGGCTCACAATTGCTAAGCTGTGTTTCATTCTCAAAACTATCCAGATTGGATACAGCCCAAATATTATTGTGCTGATGACTGAAGAATATATACAATGTGATCAGGATCTAGCTTAGTGTTTTTGTGATGATACAAGTCTTTGCAAAACTTTTGGTCAAGGATACCCATCCTGAAGTCATTACAGTTTATCATGTTTTAGCTATTCCTGTTTCTGAAATTAAAGGCATTCCATGTAATAGTTTGCATAGAGATTGTCCAGTGCAGAGTGCAAAAAGGTATTGTTAATTGTGTGTGTGTATGTGTGTATGTATGTATGTGTATATATATTTCACAGAAGAAAATTAGTGTCTCTGTATTATTGGTGACTTTATTAAATCTTGTAATAGCACTGGTGCTATGTAATATTATAAGTTACAGCTATATTTTTGTTATTTTGAATATAAAGTAATTAATATAACTTGTGCAACTTTTAGTTTAAAGCTCTTTATTTTATGATTTTATAATTGTTAATATAATTATGTAGTTACATCAGTGGTTTTATTCTACATTTGTACTGTGCTTTATATGAAACTGCTCCTACTACTGCTGCCAGGGGTGATATGGCAAAAGAGCTTAACTTTTATTACTATCTTTGGGATATGCTCAGTGAATATAAACCATCATGAAAGTGGATTTACAAATGACAGGACATGGATAAAGATGCTATACTGGACATAAATAAATCAGCTGATATTTTAATAATGAAAAGCAATATACAAATAGTAAACCAAGAGAGTAACTTGGATAATTTTCCTTATCATATTTATAAAAGTGGTGAATCTTGTGAGATTCTTCAAAACTTTAACAAACTATTTTTTAAATTTTATTACAAGGGTATTTTAAGTGGTTCATATGTATGGGGGAGGAGGCATCTTATACGTTTGGTTGTGAATACATCTCACAGGTATGGAGAAGAGCATATGAACATGTGTTCACTGTGGGGCAGTGAATTTAGTTAATCTGAAAGTCTGGATTACTTAGGTAGGTGTTAGATCACTTGCAGGCTGATCATCCAATAAAGGGGTTTTGTCCAGGATGGATGTAGGTCACGGAATGATTTTAGCTGGGACACATTGGCTGTGCCATAGAGCATTTCATAGCAGTTTATCACTGGGTGCTAGTTTGGTCTTATTTTGTGTTTTATATCTGTGAGCAGGTATTTGATTCATATCTTTTATCAATATAGCTTTTAAGTTAGGGGTCTTTGGGTTTATATCACATTAAGATATGGTGTCTTTATTCATGGACTACTGCATAAATTAAACTTGGCAGGATTTCTCAAGCAGGATAAGTCATGGTTGAAGTGCTACAATGGCTAAGTTCACATGCTAAATCAAAACCCATATAGCTAAACCCATTGCATCCTATGACTTCATTGCAGGCAGTAAATTTTATATATTCTATCTAAATGATGGCTGAAAATGTGCACATTTATTTTATACATGCAGTAGTCCATGAATAAAGACACCATGTCTTAATGTGATATATAAACCCAAAGACCCCTAACTTAAAAGCTATATATATTGCTTCCATAAATGTAAAGTTGATGGGATAGTTGTTTACTTCTATGGATTCCAATGTCTGGAGAAAGAGAGAAAGCAAAACAAAATAAATTTCTACTGCAAATAAGAGTTCATACATCTGGGTCATAAGAAGATATACTACTGTGATAAGTCTATTAAGACCTTAAATTACCACAAAAACACGGAATAACATAAAGTTGCAGTTTTCCCACAACAATTTATAATTTGTTAAAATATCTGATTTAACACATAGTTTGGAAAGGATAGCTCTAGTTAAGCCAGAGTTGGGAGAGACAGCCAAACCGAGATCTATTATCACCACTTCAAGCTAATTTTGCAAGCCATAGCTTGATCAGCTTGTGACTTAATATAATATCTAAAGTCACATTTGCCTGTGGAAAAATCCATTGCTTAGGAGAACATGCTGGGCTTCTCAAAGAAAATGGAGATGAGAATTGCATAAAATACAATTTACTTACGGTTGGGAGTGCAAGTCCTGATTAGTATTATGTCTGAAACATATTCTGTGAGGTTCTTTGGTTGTAGTCGAGAACTGCAGCTGCTTGTTCTCTAGGATTCGCACGGGAATGTTGCTATTTCTCTTTGTGACTTTCTTCTCTTTTCTCTCCCCCCCCTCCCCATAACAGTGAAGCTTGGTGGGCTATGGGATGGATGAAGCTGAGCAAGACCAGTACGAAGCCCATCTGAAAGAGCTCTTTGACAGCTTCGATGTCACTGGCACTGGCTCTCTGGGGGAGGACGAACTGACCGAACTTTGCCACGTGCTGCATCTTGAAGAAGTAGCTCCAGGAGCATTGCAGGAGACCCTTCTGCAGGAGGGTCTCCCTAGGCGGGTAAGAGCATATACACTCTGTAGATGGGCACAGCTGTCTCTCCCAACCTTGGAAAATCTGGACTGGTGGGTCAGTGCAGGGTGTTCTTGGATCCAGAGGGAAAGTGGAGATTGGAATGGAAGGAAAGAACAAAGTAGAAATAAAAGAAGGAAAGGCTCAGAGATAAAAAGATAAATGCCATGTCAAATCATAACGTCACCATACGGGTACCATTGTGACTGAGATCAAATATGATAGTAATAAATAATGGTTTACAAACCACACTGGACTGTAGGTTAATGGATTCACGTAGCACACAAAATTAAAACCCAATAAATATCATTACAGGTAGTCCTTTATTACAACCACAATTGGGACTGGAATTTCTATCATAAATTGTTGCAGTTGTAAGTCAAGTCAAACCCAATTTTGAAACAATGTTTGCAGTGGTCATTAAGGAAATCCAGCTTTCCCAATGGACATTTCTTGCCAGAAAGCAGCAAAAAAAGGTTACAAATTGCAGGATGCCACAGGATGCCGCAACTGGTCATAAATGTGAACTGGTTGCCAAGCACCCAGATTTTGATTATATGACCACTGAGATGGTGCAACCATGATAACAGGTCATAAGTCACTTTTTCTAAGGCTGTTGTGACTCTGAATCATTGTTAAACAGTTGTTAAGTTCAGGACTACCTGTGCGGTCCAGTCAGGGTGCTACACATAAAACAGGTGGAGTTTGATTGCATCATCATGATTGCCAACTTGATTTTTTTGATCTTATCCCATGGACATCCGTGACTGTAGTGTAATATGCAAATGATGCTAATGTGCTTTGCTGGTTTCTATTGGGGATGAATAGTCAGCCCATTATATTGGAGGTCTTCTAGTCCAGTGGTCGCCAACCTTTGTGGCTTGGCAACCCAGCTGGGGGGGGAGGGGAGAGAGGAACTGGGCCATGTGCGCTCCTGCCACTTGTACAAGTTGAACTGTGTGCACATGCGCTCCAGCCAGCCACTCATGTGGCCCAATTCCGAATAGGCCAATTCTGGTAGTGGGCCATGGCCCAGGTATTGGGGATCCCTGTTCTAGTTCAACTCCGTGCTCAAGCAGGAAATCCTATATCATTTCAGACAAGTGGCTGCCCAGTCTCTTCTTAAAGATCTCCAATGATGAAGCACCCAGAACGTCTGAAGGCAAGCCGTTCTACTAGTTAATTGTTCTCACTGTTAGGAAGTTTCTCTGTTAGGAAGTTTCTTGCTGCCCATGAAATGGCTTAGGCAATTATTGCATTTTCAACTCTTTTGAAACCTCCTGACGTCATTTGTGAACGCAATCATACTGAAGCACATCCCACAAAATAGATCTTCCTCTCCCAACCTGGTATCCTCCCTGGACTACAGTTCCCTTGCACCCAGCAAGTATAATCATACTGGCCGGGAATACTGGGAGTTGCTCTGCAACTCATGGGGATTATGCTAAGTTGGGGGAAGGCTGAGATAACAGATTTCTTATCTCCCTGAGTGAATTCTTTCTCTCTCTCTCTTGTGTTTCTACATCTACAATTTCTCGTTTTCTTTCCCCACCTCTCGTAATAGGCATTTAGAAGAAAGGCAGCTCCTTCCACTTAATGTATAATTTTATGGCCATTGTGTTATGGGTCCTTAATTTATTACATGATTGGCCCTTTGTGTGAATGCACCTGCACCTTTGTATTCTTAAAACAATCTCTCTTAGGAAGACAAAGCCCACGCTTACTCCACTCAAAAGCCCCTTTTCTGTCTTTTCCTTTGGAATTAATCTCACTTTGGTCTGTGATGTTAAGAAGTGAATCTCTGGGAATGGCAGGGAAGAAGCAAGAAAGGAGCTTTCTGGCTCAAAATGGGCAAATCCTTTCTTTCCGAACGGAGGGGGGAGGATTGGCGTGCTCCAGCCTCCCTGAGGGAAGAGTCTGTATCTCGAAGGGCACCTGGGAGTTTGCATTGCACGGAAAAAGAGGGGATTGGATGATGAGCAGCGTGCAGGGCCTCCATTGTGTTAATAAGGACACTGGCTCTGAGTAACCCTTCTTCTCAAATGGGATCTCCAAGATTTCCTTTTGCTGCCTGGCACGCAACAAATTCATCACTCAGAAGTTCAATGAAGCACTAGCTATCTTTGGGGAAACATGCCGAACTGCCGGTGTATATGACACCCTGCTAATACTACCACCTGTTTAATTTTCTGAGTTTCTTTTGCTTTACCATCCTGAATGCCCTCTAATGAAAAAGATGAATCTAAACTAGGTACATAATAAAATCCATCTCTTTCGACTTCTGGGGCCACGAGGCTCATCCAGGTAACATAGAGGGGAACTCACATGGGTGGATGGGAGAATTTTCTGTGTGTTTTGTTTCTCCCTCTGACACTATTGTCCTAAACTAGGTAGTGTAGCAACAGATACAGGCCCTAAATCTGGCAGCTTCGCAACCAGTGATGATTGGTTCATCTCGTGTGCCTTTGTATTTGGAGAAACACCCAGGTGAAAACATTTTCTACCCTTGGGTGAAGTTTTGAAGGAGCTGATACCCTGCCACATCCTGGTTTCCCCCTAAAACCACTCGCAGTGCAAAACTAGAGTCAAAGCTTTGGTCTTCCTCCACCCAAGGGATGATGTGGGTGAGATGTATAGGTTTACAGGGCTGTATTTTTTGTACCTGTGCTCTAATTGAGACTTGTGGTATCATCTGTTAACTCCTTCCAAAGACATTACCTTCTCCTATGCCAGCAGCATAGATATTTTAAGTGATTGTGTTGATTTAGCTTTAAAGAAATTTTTTTTTTGAGGTCTAGTCTACTTGTCTTGAATTGATTTTTAGTCATGTGTGGATTACCTTCTACACTTCTTCTCCACACTGCCATTCAATTCAACACTTCACATGATTGCTGCTCCCTCTGAATGGTAGGTTTTGATTCCTGTCAGTTATCTGATTTAGCCTCTCCTAATCATTCTTCCTTTGACCAATCAGGTTTCCCAAGTAAAAATCTCAGAGAAGAGCAGAACTGTCCTGCTGGAGAACAGAATGCATCAATTGCATCTAGTGGAGCCTATATGCTCTAGAAGGTTCTCCTGCTTGAGCAGGGGGCTGGACTAGAAGACCTCCAAGGCCCCTTCCAGCTCTATTCTATTCTATTCTATTCTATTCTATTCTATTCTATTCTATTCTATTCTATTCTATTCTATTCTATTCTTAGAACCTAGATGCGTTCCATATAAATAAGGATACTCAGTATTGTCTTGTCTGTCTAAATGCAGCAATTCAGACAGCTCTGCACAAACAGCTGTTGGGTTCAACAACAATGTAGACGCTGCAGTAGCTTTCTGTAATTTAGTTTCAGAAGTTACTTTAATTATTTTCTATAAATTAGTTCCTCCAAATATGGTGGGTCTAGTACTCTGGAATTTTGTCATGCCTGCTGGGACTCCTGGACCTTTCACTCCCAACTTACCTGGGAAATGGAGAGATTTTATTTATTCATTTGATTTTGATGCTGCCAGCTCCAGAAGGATAGGTTTACAGCTCCAAGTTAGGTCTCATGAAAACACTACTTGTAACCTTTTTTTTTAACCTTTTCCTACTTTATAAGCTCAACATCACCTTGTGTAAATTTTGATTCATACATTTTTAAAAATGAGACTCTCAAAGTAGAAGCTGGGCTTTTTTTTTTTTGACTCCAGAAAACCCAGAGGGACTGACATCACAAACACTTTGAAGGGAACATTAAAAATGTAATATTTTAAGTTTCTTTGGTCTGTCTTTGCTTTCCGCGCTACTGTGCTTCAAATTTTAATCTGCTGTGGTCTGGAACTGGCAATGTTTTTGCACTGAACAGGCAAGCCTATTCAGCAATCATGCCTGATATGGTGTCTTTTGGCTAAGTTGGACTAGCAAAATTTTAGTCTTAAGACAGTGTTTCCCAACCTCGGCAACTTTAAGGCGGGTGGACTTCAACTCCCAGAATTCCCCAGCCAGCCATGTTCTCTTAAGAGAACTGGAAGGCACACTATTGGGGAAAACCTGAAATATATTTATTGGTGTCATTTGAACTCTATATTGGGATAGAGTGCAGCCACTTTTTAATGCTTTTGTTTAGAACATTTGTTCTGCAGTCCTCGACTTACAACAATTTGCTTAGTAACTGACAAAAATGGGACTTATGACCGCTTTTCACAGTTATGACCTTCGCAGCATGATAAAAATTCAGGCACTTGGCAACTGGTTCATACTTGTGACTGTTGCTGTGTCCCAAGGTCATGTGGTCACCTTTTGCAACCTTCTGACAAGCAAAGTCAATGGGGAAGCCAGGTTCACTTAACAACCAGGTTACTAACTTACCGACTGCAGTGATTCACTTAACAGCTGTGGCAAGAAAAGTCATAAAATGGGACAAAACTCACTTAACAAATGTCTCCCTTAACAACAGAAATTGTGGCCGTAAGTTGAGGACTATCTCTGTAGTTCCTTTCTGATCTTGTTTTCTCCTGGGGCCTCTTTTGTCAAATCCCATGATCAGATTCACGCATGGGACAGTAACTGATGCATTTTCTGGAGCCAACCAGACAGTTTTTGCACTATAATACGCTTTGCTTTTCCATGGCCCCTTCGGCACATGCTGAAATATCCTATGGCATTGGTTGAAAAGCACTCCTTTAGAGCACAGAGGCCCTTTCCAGGCTAATACTAAATCCCATTTATAATTCTAGTACTTTTTCCCCCAATAGTGAGCTGTGTAATGTTTCCCCTAAACTGATTTTTAAGTCCTGGGGAAACGCCTCGAGGCACAAAGGTGTTAAGATATTTTCAATTGAATATGTAGAGTGAGATGTATTATTCTGAAAAACAATGGTGCAAGGTCTACATTTGATATATTCTACAACAGGTTCAGAGCATAGTTTTTAAAATAGCATCTCACTGTTCCTGTGTCTAATTAATGGCAAAAATGGCCTGGCTTTTACATGTCTTGTAATCCGTCCATGTGGGCCAGACTGCATTCCAGGAACAGAAGGATATTTCAGAAAAGAATTGATACAAAAATCCAGTGTTAAAAATAGCAATGAATCCAATTGCTAGAGTCTTGATTAGGAGCAACAAAGCCTATGCTGGGCAACTTTGATCCATTTTCCACTCACATCGCCCTATCAAATTGTGATGTTGTTTCTCTCTCCACACCCCACCCCTTCTGAACTTGGTTTAAATTCACTCTTCTTAATCTTCCCTTTGAGCTTCAGTCACGGTAAAATTGCTTCGTGTGATCCAAACCCTGGCCATCTGTTCTGCTTGCAGCTGCAATTTCAAGGAAGGAATTTCAACCCCAACAGAGAAATGTTCACTTCTACTCCGTCAAACAAAATACCCTTCTATCTTCTCATCCCCTTTTCTTTTTCTTTTTTCTTCTCATCCCCTTTCCTTTTTCTTTTTACCTTAAAATTTAGTCCAATTGCATAATAAATAAAGGAGTCCTTGATGCTCTCTGGGTTTGGTTGTTTGCTTATAGACATTTCATTACCCAACTAGGTAACATCATCAGTGTGAGGAAGGTGGGGTTTGCTCCCTGCTTATCTACAAAAATATGTCCTGCCAATGTGGTAGGAGTGTTGTTTTCTCTTTGATAGTTCCTTGATTAGATCTTTTGTCTAGCATTACTCCTTATCTAAGTGTGAGTTGCTGAATGTGCCTGGTCTCTTCTTTTTCCTTTTTTATTGTCTCTTTTTAGTAATGTGTAAATGTGATTTATTTCAATGTGTCTGTTGATGGCTGATTTGTCTGATTGTCGAGCCTCCAGGAATTCCTGAATTTAGCTTGGATGCTCACAATTTCCCAGTTGATAATATGGTTGAGTTTGCCCACGTGTTGTAAGATTAAGACGTTTTCATCCTGTCTTATGACTGCAAGTTGGTGTTTGTGGATATGTTGTGCTAGTCTTCTGCTTGTCTGTCTACATAGTGGCTGTTAAAGTGTATGTTACAGATGATTCCTCTTTTTTCTTCTGGGCTACTGTACTGGGCCTTTGGTTTATTTAAGGAGTTTTGGATTACTTTAGTCGGTATGTGTACTACAGTGATTCTGTATGGTTGTTATAGTCTGTTGGTTGTTTCTGAGATGCTTTTGATATATGACAGTGCTAGCTTGTGTGGTTGTGCTATAGTGGGTTAATTGGCCAGGCAACCCTAAGCTACATATATTCTCTTCTACTGAGATAATAGTTTTTAGAAAAGTGGTAGGAGAGATGCTCAGCTACTTCTAAGATTTTAGCTGGTTGTATTTCAACTGTCTTCTTTTAAGGCATGAATGTTTTGTTGATAAAGGAAAAGAATATACTTCAATCTGTTCTTTCTTTATAACTGACTGGACTGAACTTTATCACCAATGTTAAGTCTCCTGTTTGTTTATGGAGACATCATAAGCAATTTCCCTTTGATTCCTGGCTTCTGCAATTAATGAAATGATCTCTCTTAGATATTTCAACAAATGAAAATGTTCAGTAACAGAATTCTTTCTTTTCATCATGGCATCCCATGGTTTATTTACTGCCACTTTGTTTTTTGAAAATTAAAATGAGATGAGAATGACCTTAGAAAGCTGCTTTTAGTCAGATTAAGATGTCTTAGCACAGTGATGGCGAACCTTTTAGGGACCGAGTGCCCAAAAACTGGCCCCGCCCCTGCTCCACCCCCTGCCCTGCCCCCATCTCATCTGCCCGTAGGGCCACTCACCACCTCCAGGGCCCACCGCAGATCGCCCAGGCAGCCTAGGAGCACCATTGCGGCCATGTCCTCTGCGCACGCCCCGCAGCATCAACTATGCAGGATGGGGTGTGAGGGCAGAGTCTTGTGTACGCTGCCTGGCTGCCATGTCTTTGGCTGCGCTGCTCTGTGTGGGCCACGCTCGGCGGTAACTCTCCTCCAGGGGGGCTGCTGGTGAGGAGGGGGTCACGGGAGAGGCAAGGCTGGGGCAATGGCACATGTGCCCACAGAGAGGGCTCTGAGTGCCACCTCTGGCACGCGTGCCATAGGTTCGCCACCACTGTCTTAGCATATTGATGAATCTAGACAAATATGATTTATTTAATAAATGTGATGAATGTGATGAAACATAGCTTCATTGCCAAGCCTTAATTTGTTTTAACTGCAGTCCAATACATTATTACTGATCTGTTCACCTAAAATAGTAAGCTATAAACTATGGTTTACAAAGCACAATACTGGATTCATCCTACATAATAAACCAAAACCAAGCTACATTTTGGCTTATCATGGTGCATGTACTCAACTTTATAGGTTAGAGTTAGTGAACTTTTTTTTTAATTCTTCCTATGGACAGCCCTGATTCTGAAGCTGAGGGCACCCTTTAGCTCAGATCTTGTGTAAAATTGTCAGAAATAATATTAATGTGATCGTAATATTAGCCTACTTGACCATGCGTGTAACAGTTAGTGTGATAAACATGTTCAAAGTATTGTGAATACTGAAAGCATCTGAGGTCAAAAATTATGCATTACCCTTTGAAATATTTAACATTCTCCTAATTGTGACCATTGGTTTAATTGTTAATTATCAGATCTTTGAATATTTGGAATTTTTTTTCCAGTTTACTAGCACCTAAGTTTGAGAGTAAGTAAATAGCATCTTAAACCCAATGTGCCTGATTATTTCTGTTAAATGTTGGTGAGTGTGCTGTTGTGTTACACTTCTTAGTTAGTGCAAGTGTGCTATGAATGAGTAGATAACTAGGTCTTGCAAGTTCCCCACCCCCCATGATTAATTGTAATGCACAGTGTGCTGTGCACAGAGTCCTGCGTAATCTAACGCTCCCTCCTCTTATAGTCAAGCTCATTTATTTTAAATGTCAAGGTATTTTTTTTTAATCAGGAAAATCTTCCTCTCTGCAAACTGCTTTCTTTTAAGTACACCAGCATTTTGAAATATTGGTAGGATGAATGGCAGTTCTTAACGTATAAATGAGGCCACTGCTATGAAGTTTAATTGAGCTGATTCCCAAGATGCTTTTAATTACTTCTTGTGATATGCACTAAGATCTGTACAGCTAGATTGCATGTTCAGTTCTGAAGTATTTATTGATGTGGCACTGTTTGCGTGCATGTAGACACATACACAAATGGCATTCATAGAATGGGTCCATATTGCTTTAGCATATGCTAAGCTAAAAAGGGCCTTGTTGTGTCAGCCACTGTCTTAGTAAGTTGTGTGGAGCAGGTTACTGCCTTAAGCCACAATATGATTGTAGGGGATGTGGGGAAGGAGGAAGCAGGGAACATTGCGTCAATTCAGCTATTGTATTTTGTTGATTCAGGTTTGATGACAAACATGTTGTATGAACTCAACTTTAGGGCTGCTATAGTTGTTGAAATATTATCTCCAGAAGCAGAGAAGCGATCATTCAATTTAGAGAGAAAGTAAATTGAATTGGCAAACAATATTTGCATAAAACACTTAACTAGGTTACTATGTAGTGTGAAGCCCTACGTCTTGCCAGCTTAAGCCCAGGGAAGGAGACTTCAATTCAGAACAAACCACAGTGCCCTTCCATAGTCAGCTGTTGTGCAAATACCATAAGACAGTAAAAAGGGAAGAAGCTGCTTAGTCTTGACCTCCGCAATACTATACAAAAAGAATTGGAGTTGAAGAGTTGCTGGAAAAATCAATGGGAAAATATGGGAGAGTAGATTAGAGGGGGGGGGGTTTCCTGGGAAGTTCCCAACCTTTGTGAGACTTGGAGAAGGCACTTCCAATAATTGGAATAAGCCAAATTTGGCATCAAGTAGTGGTAAGGCACATTGTGCTACAGTATACCAAAGGTACTAATAATTCCTTTTTTTTTTTTAAGGTCCACTTTGATCAGTTTAAAGATGCACTAATCCTCATCTTGTCTAGCACATTAACAAATGAAGAGTCCTTTCAGCAACCAGGTAAGACCTCTTTTGGAAATGTTGAGATTCTGCCAACCAGCAGGAAATGAGAAGAACATAGTGCAACCAAAATTCATTTAGAAAAGTTTCCGTGTTTATAATGAAGTGTGAAGCAGCATTTGGGCCAGGTTGCTTTGATTTCCTACCCTAAATTCTCCTCCAAATAGGAACTGGTGGCTTCATAATATAAATATTCTGCTTAGTTTATATACAATTAAGGAGAAGTAGCTGCAAGCAGAAGGAGGGACATGTCAATTCATCAAAAGATTAACAGGTTTTGATTGGTTAGCAAATGGAAATTGAAAATCTTGATATCAAGCAAATTCAGCTACTCACAACATACTTTGATTTAATTTTTACAACTATTTTGGAGGAAGTTGCATGTAACATGGTGCTCATGGGCCAATCCCTAATCCAGTGTTTCTCAAACTTGACCACTTGGAGGTGTATGGACTTTAAGTTGAAGGTATGATGGCCTCCAAAGAAGTAAAAGCAATAGCAATAGCACTTAGATGTATATACTGCTTTATAGTGCTTTATAGCTCTTTCTAAGTGGTTTACAGAGTCTGTATATTGCCCCCAACAATCTGGGTCCTCATTTTACCAACCTCAGAAGGATGGAAGGCAGAGTCAATTTTGATCTGGTCAGGATTGAGCTGCTGGCAGTCGGCACAGTTAGCCTGCAATACTGCACCCTAACCCCTGAGCCACCACAGCTCTAGAACAAAGAAAACTGTTGCAGTTCTGATTCTTAGGAACTGGGGCAGTTTTCTCAACCTTGACCACATGAAAATATGTGGACGTCAACTCCCAAAAGCATGGTAGCTGAAGTCCACATATCTTCAATAATAGATGTTCCAAAGACCTGTAGAGTATTTAATTCCCCATATTATGTTACTTGGAACTAGGTCACAAGATGTATAAAACTTTTAACATCATTTGCTTGCATTCGATGTAGTGTATTAAGTAAAAAATACTATAAGCATTTGAGAGTTAGTCAACAAACTATAAGTACAGTAAACAAACTATGGCTTAGTGGAACGTAGGAAAGCAATTTTTATGTGATTACAGTTGTTTTCTTTCAGGGTATAACATATGACTCTTTTCCTTTGCATTCTGGCATTCACCTTTATGATCTCAGAGACAGGCTCTGTGAGACTTCTTGGCTGATATTCCAGGCTTGCCAAAATAAAGCTATTTTTGACCATCTATCAGAGTTTTTAAAATGTATTTATTCAATTTGTATGACTGCCCCTCTCAGATGTATGACTCAGGGTGGTAAGCAATCATTAAATCAATTAAAAATGAATTGCAATCACAATACTAAAAATTAAATATAGCTGACAAGAAAAACACTATAGTCTATCATTGTTAAGGAAATGCTTCTTTTGCACAAAATAACTGAAGTTTGGAAATGCCTAGCACTAATGAGTCCGCAAATCAAAAGACAGTTTAGAGAAGTGTTTCTCAATCTCAGCAACTTGAAGATGATTGGACTTCAATTCCTAGAATTCCTGAGCCCCGATCTAGGTGACTGAGGAATTCTGGGAATTGAAGTCCACTTATCCTAAAGCTGCTGAGATTGAGAAAGATCAGCTTAGAATAAGTAAGAAGACAGAGACATAATAATAAATGGAGGTTAGCCTCCTGGGCATGAACTATAGAATTAAAGGTACTGTCTTCTTTCCTGAGACAAGGGCTTCTGAGTAAGTGTGTAAAATGAAAGCTTAGCTTAATGTAATGAAGTTAAACTTTTTACGCTTTAAAATAGGCTTTAAAATTAAAACATCATTGTTGCAATGCTAATGAAATATTCTGGATGTCTTTAGAAACTGAAGAGACAGCCAAGCTGACTTTGTTTTAAAGAAATAAGTTTTAAAATGCAGTATAATGATAAGGGTTGCAGCATACTGTACTTAGTAATTGCTTACAAAAATAGCTACTCAGGTTGATTAAACCTGACAGTAGTTTGCAATGAAAAGAATGAGTGTTGGGACATTTCTTCTGCCCAGTCCTCAAGGCTAAAACTAGATGTTTGTGCTTGCACAGAAAATATTTTTAAATTGACTGGATTCATCTTGTTGAGTAGATATTTTACCAGAGGGCAAATAAAGAAGATTCATTTGGGGCATCGAAAACCCTAGGTAGGGTTTCTTTCCTTTATGTTTTCTGATTGCAACTTGGAGATCCTCGGTTCGGGTTTTTTAAGTTGAAGTTTCTGAAGTGCTAACATGTGGTCTAATCAAAGAAGTAAGACTTCCTAGTTCTAACTCATTTAGTCAATCAACTGGTCATTTGTGTTGCATTTGAACAGCCAGCCCAAAATGAGTGAGAGTGGGAAAAGGAGAAGATAATTGTCCCATGGCTGTAGACCAGTGTTTCTCAACCTTGGCAGCTTGAAGATGTGTGGACTTCAACTCCCAGAATTCCCCAGCCAGCTATGCTGGCTGGGGAATTCTGGGAATTGAAGTCCACACATCTTCAAGCTGCCAAGGTTGAGAAACACTGCTGTAGACTATAGAGACCACTCACTCTCAAGCTAAAACTTTTATAGGAATCATTTTCTCAAAGGAACCATCATCTTTGCTAGCATGGTGTTCAAACTCTGCTCATGGAAGTCTTGATTTTTCATTATGGTAGTTCTAACATTGCTTGACCAGCAAATCTACAAGAAGCCCATGTGGAATTAGTTCCAGATCACATGGAACCATTGGTGGGTATTCAGATGTTAAATATTGTAGGCAACCATTCTGTAAACAGGAAGACAGTCTTGTCTCTGAAGATTCTAATAATCTAGCTTATGGCTGTCCCAAAGGTGCTTTTCCATAAGGCAATTGGACTTTCTTGTTTTTTTCCCTTGAAAACATTTTGCTTCTCATCCAAGAAGCTGCATCAGTTCTGATGAAGTGAAACATTTTCAAGGAAAATGTCTATGGAGATTCTCAGTCATCCAGGTCATGGTTGTCCCAAAAGGTGTTTTTTTCAAAAGGCAAGTTGACTTTGTTTTTTTCTTGAAGACGTTTCACTTCTCATCCAAGAAGCATTCTCAGTTCTGATTCCATTCCCCAGCATTCAGTCAGAACTGAGGATGTTTCTTGGATGAAAAGTGAAACTTCCTTCAAGAAAAAACAAAGTCCACTTGCACCTTTGGGTTTTCAAGGAAAAAGACCAAGAAAGTCCAGTTGCCTTTTGGAAAAGCACCTGTGGGATGACAATGGTCTTCTTCAATATAAAGAATATACATAGCTTAAAATTGAACCGTGGAATCCTTGGTCCCCTCTGAGTTTAGTTGTTTGCTTAGAGACTTTTTGTTAGCCAACTAGGTACATGAAACCAACTAGCCAATAAAACGTCTGCAAGCAAGCAACTAAACTCAGAGGGGACCAAGGATTCCACTGTCTTCTTTACCAACACCAATAAAAATAGGAAAGAGCAGGGCCATTTTTCATTCTACATTTTGGACTGAATACACAAAAATAACATCGGAATAGAGCCAAGGCCTTATTAACATATTATCATTTTCTCAGCTCGGTGGACATCATGTGGTTACTGACCTTGGTTCATCTTGTTCTGTTCTTTTTTATTCATGGTCTGTCTCAGACTTGCTCTTGTTTTTATTGTTCTTTGTATGCTGTGTTTTTTCCTGCCCTTTGAAAACTTTCCATGTATCCAGCATTCCTACAATAAAATGACTACATACAAAGCGATGCTTTTTGTTAACAGCCACCTGCGTATTGTTTTAGGGGTGAGGGTGTTTTGTTATTCTTTCCAACCCAACAATATTTTGGAAAGAAATTATGAAAAGGGTCTTGTGACCCAGTCCATCAGCAGGGATAACTCTTTGAAACAAAACAGAATTGGAACAAATCTGGTATAGGGTGAGTAGGTGGCCAACAAGTAAAAGAATTTGAAAAAGTGTTGAGTCTAGCCAGAAGCTGAAGGGAGAAAAAATGAAAGAAAAAAAATCTCCCAATGCATCCCTAGGGGAGAGGGAGATGCCCCTCTTCCTTCTCCCCATTCACAGGTCGATGGAGCATATGATGTCTTTCCTCTATATACTGTACATGCGTACAGATATAAATCGAGCAATGTGAGGGAAGGGCAAAAAGATATCCATGTGCAAATAGGCCACATCGTTTTGTTACACAGGAAAAAATACAAATGCCTCCTATGGCTACTGCTAGTAAAAGAGTTGGAAAGAATTCCCAAAGCTTGCTGTATGTGCTTTCCTTCCTTTGTTTTGATATGGCAGCAGTAGAGCAGAGGTGGTGCCCCTCCTGTATAGCAAGAGTTAAACCAAACTTATCTGAGCTGTGGTATCCTCTAGAGCAGGGCTTCTCAATCTCAGCAACTTTAAGATGTGTGAACTTTAGCTCCCAGAAACTCCCCCCAGCACGCTGGCTCCCCCCCCACCCCAATGCTTCAATAATGGCAGTCATGGGTGGCTCAGGAATTCTGGGAGTTGAAGTCCATGAGTCATAAAAGAGCCAAGGTTGCCTACCCCTGGTATAGTGTATTTTCAAACCACAATGCTATTAGTTGCACCTGTGAAATTCTTCTAAAGAAAAGTAATGCTGCTTATGTAAGGAAAAATAATAATAATTAAACCATGGGTTTCTGTAAGCATTGGGAAAACAAGTAAAGGTTTATGAAATGTATTAGTTTGGATTCTTTGAAGAGATCCAGTTATGACATTTATTAGAGAAGGAGAAGAGTAACAAGAGGAGAATGACAGTACAGGCCATCTGTGATAACTACTTACCCAAAAGGTTGGTGAGAAGAAAACTGAATATAAATATACATATACACATATGTGCGCATGCACACATAAAGGAATGAAACCTGTGCAAAAATGCAAAAAAGAACATTGCGCTAGAAGTCCACAAATGCTGTGCTATTCATCAGAAACCTTCCAATGTCTTACTGTTTCTGCATACAAGGTGTGAAAACCATGATTATATTATTGTAGGAGAAGGGCAGGCAGAGCTGGAGGGTGGAGT